TAGATTCTCAAGATAACTGAATATAATGTACTTAACAAAGTCGTTCCCTATTTCCAAACCAAGCATCGATGCGAATCATTCCTGAGACAGGAATATACATTTAAAAACTGGTAAGAATTACATCCTAAATATTCTACCTAAATATACTACCTTTCATAATCTTCAATTAATTTTAAGCTTCCTCTGATTATTCACCAAATAGAACTTTCATTTCTGCACTTTAAGTAGATAGGAAAACATCTGGTCAGCAGGGCGATTCTAGAGAAGTCAGATTATGAAACAGTTAGCTTCAGACGTATAACTACGGTGATAATAAAACAGGAAAGTTTTAGCCTCTCTGATGAATGTTGATTTACACAATGAGTGTAGATGATGATTCGCTGTAAGAAATGTCCAACCATTTCTATTTCAGTATAGACTGTTGGGAAACTCAGATTTTTTTCTCAAATATTCGTTAACAATCAGTCAAAAAGGATTTTAAAACAATTACTATTTTAAGTTATAGAACTCTTCTATGTTACTGAATCAGGTATCAGAAAACTCACATCCTGTATATCTGATTCCCAGACACAAAACATACATTTTTCTATGTAGTGTGGAATAAGTGTTTTATTTATTAGATTGATGTAAATCCTAGATAAAGTTTTTAGTTGTAGAAAACGCCACAAGACCGATCAATCGATGAAGTCAAAAAACGCTTATTGGTTAAGGATTACAGTTACATTTGGAAGTTGAGAAGTATATTATGGTCTATCGAACTAATGAAGAGAGGCGAATTAGCCCATATGTACTAAACAATGTTTTCAATCTGCCTGGATTTGCCAAATTAGTTAAAGATTGGACGATTTTTAAAGTTTAAATCCTTAAGCACGCTCTAGCCTGTTCATTAGAAACTGAAGGCTGTATATTATTCACCGATTTAGTTTACTGGTAATCATTAAGCAACCGTAGGATAAATGGAGGATAGTTGGATTTTTCCTCAATGTTTTGTGCATCGTTAAAACACCCTATTGGTTATTTTAGGATTTTTTGCTGCGATTTGGGCAACATCTTTTGTGTGAGGGCTAGTAAGGGATTCAAGTCACAGAAAACAGATAAGCGTTTCGGCGTTCCGACCTGCAACCAAATGGATCAAAGGTGAGTTCTTTGAATGCTTTGCCAAAGCTTCCTCAGGCAATCGTTTTAGCTAAGTAGTCTGAAGACTTTGCATTATGAGAGAGAATTCAGGTTTTTAAAGTCTTCACGTACTGAACATTTACGGATTACCATGGCTGATTCCAGTTTCCTAGTCAGTTTTCATCGTCCAGTTACATTCTATTGCCGGCTTATATTTATCATCATTTTTTTAGCTCAGATAGCAGTTAATGATGATGTGCCTTTTGAAAAAGATCAAAACGACACTAAAGGCAAAGTTTATTGTGATCAAACGATATGTATTCGATATGATTTAACAGTTATAACTACAAGTTAAGTTCAAAGGCATATAGATGTGAACCAGCAGTTTTCACATAGCTAATTTAAAGATGTTTACACTAAAGTATACAGTTAGGTATATGGTCAGTTCTCTCTTTTAGTATCACTTCAATAATTTTATCAACCGGTTAAAAATTAAATTATCTGACTTATTCAAATACAATCAATCTCTGGTGTTATTTTATAACTCTTATTCATAAAATATTCAATAATAATTGAGGAAGTTAGGAAACAGAATCGACCTGAGAAAGGTTTGTTTTCGATCGACTACTCATTACATTTCCGCATTGTTATTATTATTAGATAGACTTTACAAGTGAGTATACCAGATCAATCCTAAACATTGAACACTATCCTGAATCTGTAAATGGGATTAACCATTGTGTAAATCAATAATTTCAATGAAGTAAATAGTTTTATATAATTTCCAAAGTTTTGTTTGACCAGTGTAACGATGACAGATTGTCAACAGATTATAATAATTAATGAGAAAACTGGAAAATCACATAACAAGATCGATGATAGAGAATAAAAAAAGCGTGAAAGTTGGGACAAGTTAACTAATAATAATTGATAAGATTTTAACAATAACGATAAGACATATTTCTTTTGTACACATAGTTCTGGTTTAATCTCAAGGATGGTAAAAGCTTCAACTATTTTTAGGAGTTGGATACGAAGAAATCTAAGTAGATTTGAATGAATCCGCAGTCTGATTTTAAGGTTGCTCATATGATTCTATCAAATCTATCTAGATTTCTTCGTATTCAAATCCTAAAATTAGCCGAAGCTCTTACCATCTATGACTTTTGTTGTTTTTTCAAATCTTTTTTAATTGAAATGTAATTGTCATTCATAGTGAATTAGTAGGTTAACAGATTTTGTATTGTCGATTACTAGGAAATCCAAAACCAGGTCTCAATGTAACAGTTAAAGATATATTGACAATCGGATAGTATTAAATATACTATTCTCTTTGATATTTTATATTCATCAACAAATGTAAATATGCTTATTGGATTCGGAAACTCTAAGTTTTATTATATTTATATTAGGGACTAGTGATGGAATGTTTCTTCTGATTAGTCGTTGAAGATCTTATCATTCAGTTTATCGACTTTATGCAGATATCTATTGATTATTATTTACATGTAACTGAAGGTGATCATAAGTCATTCGAATAGCATGTTAATAACATTTTGTTTTATTCTTAGAGATTATACACACGTTAGCTTTTCCAAAGATGATTTTACCCACATTTTATTAATTAGCATTGGCTAGATAGTCATCATTAACGTATGGAGTGGCATATATACTCCCATTGGTGTACGTTGCCATACTATAATAGCAAGATGAAATAAAATTAACAAAGTGAATAATAAAGGAATCCAAAACATGTATTAGCAATAATGAGAAATATTAAACATTGAGTATATGGTACAAAATAAATAGTATATATAAACGAATACTGAAGCTCGAGATCAAAAATAAGATAAATAGTAAATGCATCTGTTCGATCATGACAGTTTCTGAGTTCGATCATCCAACACCTCCAACAACTAATTACGGTGATTGAATGGACCCTAAATAACTAGTCCGAATCAACTGACATGGCTAAGATCAATAGTCACTAATTATTTAGTAGGACAGACTCAGTATTGAGTTCAATTTATAAATTCCAATTCAATGATCTCGTCAATCCATTTGTAAGTTATGTTACTGTAAATATTGATTGTTAAAAATTTAAATAAACTACTTAAATTACCCTTAAGTTTAATTGTTACCTTGATAAAATTCATAGAAAATTTGCTTAAATGGAATGAAATCTTAACTGTTATTTTCTATCAAGAATAAAATTAACTTCACTCATTATTCCATTTTAAATTATCCTCCAATTATAGATTTGAGCATATTCATAGTTGAAATCAATCAGTTAAATTGAATGGTATCAGTTAAACAGCTAATAAAAACCGGGAGAAATTAATTTACCGATGATAACTGAGTATAACTAACATACAGAACGTTTAGTGAGAAGTTGTGACTTATGAATTCAGTTATAAACTGAAGTTAGAAAATAAATTACAGATTACATAGAAAGTGATTTACTTATTTAAATATGATGAGTTTTATGTTCATATACGATAGGATGTAAACACAGCTGAGTAGTTTGAAAGTAGGATAAAATAATACCTTCCTAGTACTCCGTGGATCTAAGTGATTCTCTTTTGATATTATGACATTAAAACGTACTTAATTACTTCCTTACGCCTCTTACCCCTTGTCGAAGAGCATTCTCCGTCCAGCTTTGTCATGGTAAATCCTTTCCAATTCTTTCCAGTCGCTATTCATTATTTTGATGTCTGCTTCCGATTCCCGACGCGTTGTGTTCTTTGGACTTCCACTTTTCCATCTCCCCTCAGGATTCCAGATAAACCGCTGCTTCGTGATGCAGTTTGGTGATTTCCTTATTGTATGTCCTATCCACTCCCAACGTCTTTTCATAATTCCCTCTTCAGATGGAAGCTGGTTTGTTCTCTCCCATAAAACTCTGTTGCTGATGGCATCCAGTTAATGGATATTGATTATCTTGCGTAGATAACTGTTTATAAATACTTATACCTTCTTGACGATGGTTTTAATAGTTCTCCACGTTTCAGCTCCGTACAATAGGACTGCCTTGACGTTCGTATTGAAGATTCTCACTTTGAAATTAGTTGAGAGTTGTTTTGAGTTCCATATGTTCTTCAATTGTAGGAATACGGCTCTTGCTTTGCCGATCCTAACCTTTACTACATTAAAACGTGTATACTTGAAAACTGATTTCACATGATTTATAACACGTTTAATGTTTCAGATGGTAGTTTTACAAGAAACAATTCATTGTCAAATGAACAGATTTGATAAATATGTTGTATGAGTTCGTATATGGCTAACCATAAAAATCGGTCGTCATTTGTTTAAATATTATAGACTTCTGCATTTCTCAAATTAAAATAAAGAAAATGAAACTAAGTCTTCCGATTGCTTTGCTAGTAGTATACTTTTTTCTTACTAAAAAACTTTAGACCTTATGTGGCAACATAAAAAACTAGCAGAATATATATTCATTTAGTATTTCATGATAGAGCTAAGGCTTTTTAGTTACTAACTGTTTTCAATAAGGCATTTCTAAAACCTACAAGAAGTAGACAATCTGTTACTACAAATAGATATATTGATATATCGTTTCTTAACCTTAACGTGACTCTTTGTCAAACAAATTTCCATACATTTATATCATAGTATCTAACTATTGTGTTTAATGACTATACATTTCCACCATATTGTGTTATATCCATCAATAATTGTAATGAGAATGGTTACTAAGATATTATAAAGTATATGTATGGAATATGAATAACACATTACTCAAAATAAAGAGGTAACCTGTATTCTACTTATCTAGAAAATAACAATAATCTGTTAGTAGTATATATACATATACTTTCAAAGTATACATCTATATCATTTAAAAATTAAACACTTACCACCAATAACCCATATTTCCAAATGCATTGATATGATTAAGTGTTAATATATATATTAATAAAATTAAAACAAATATTCCATTAAAAGAATATTGTTTTCCTTTATGATATTGACTTGATCTATAATTCTTCATTAAAGGCATTATAGATGGGATTATAATTCCTTTAGTTAATAATGAACTTTTAAATGTTGAATTCATTGAATCCGAAAAAAAAATTTTTTTAGTTTTGCATGACAACTAATTATCTTTTTTTTGATAAATGAATCCTTCTCTTAGGAACATGTAATTCATTCGGTGTTTTTTTTGTGTTTTGTTTTACAATTGAAAAAATATGTTACTCAAGTAATTGATTAAGGTGAAATCATTTAAAATTCGAAAAAAAAATTAGGCGGTCATTAAAGTGAGTTTTAAACAAACAAATGATTATATAATTGTTAAATGTTCCATGATATCAATATTACAATGTGTACTTTGTGGTTTAAATCTATTAAACAATTGATAGGTAAGTGTATATTACGCCTACACATGTGTCATGTTTGTCAATTAATGTATATGTATATATATATGTCTACATTAAGATGTACAGATTCTTTTCACTTCTTTTTTTCAAAAGAAAAAAAAACACTTTTCAATCTTGTTTCTAACCTATTACATAAGATAGATATAGTTTCCCTAAGCAACGTAGAGTATTATTTAACAATAAATATAAAGAATAGAACAAATGTATTTCTAACAAACAAGCGTACAATCTATTGTATTAAAATAATTAAATAATTAATTTGTATGTATTGTTCACTATTCTCTATAGATATTGGAGGCGTATTCATTAGATTCTGTATATGTATCCGCATGTTTGTTATTGAAAAACAAAAAAAGGAGACAAATAGTAGATATTAGTTCGTAGATAAATTTGTTATTTGACTGTCATGAAAGAGAAATGCTTATAGTCACTAAGTACATAACTTTCTATTTATCCCTTCATATTTTTGTAAATACATACATTCATATTTATTGTATAGTTTTATATAAATAAATTCACTGGTCATTTGTTTTCCTACCTATTTACCTATCTCATTTCATTGTATTCATTGACGCATATTTTTTATTTATCATATTAGGATAATATCCGTCTACTTTTTGAAAGAAAAAATAATTAAATTCTGATTGGTCAGCTTGTTTAATTATCTATAATTGAGTAGAATGATCGTGGATGTGCACGACTGAGGAGTCCCGTAATAGGACGAAACGGCCGTCCAGTGCTTTCAGGTTTTCCATGGTGGTCTAGCTTTAATTGATTCATGATCTCAACTATGTAAATCACTATAATATCCACAAAACCCCTTCTGATAGAATGATTAAGTTAAAAAGAGGATAACCCTATATACTGTAAGTCATTGAATACACTGTGACATGTAATATTGTTTAATAATTTTTAGAATAATGTATTCATGTATTGAATTTTGATAAAATGACTTAAAAATTAGTTAGTTCAAACAGAACTCTTTTTTAATTTATCTAAACAACAAAAATAGTGTACATTGTACAAAGTTTGTGAAAACAACACGTTTGCTAATAGGATTTATCAAATCATCACGTACTGCCTTTAGATAATTGAATCAGAAAACAGAATGATATATAAATAAACTCTTGATACCCCTTACCGTTTTAAGTAATACGTTGAATGATAAGTTAGTGTATATTCAAAATCACATAATATGGGGAAATATTATATTACAACAAATGTAGCAGCAGCCTCTGCACGGATGGGTCTCAATATATATACAAAGGAAAAGGCAAGATTCTCAAATACAACACAGAGAACACTAACCCAATCGCACTTGATGGAGAAACTCTGGAAGATTTGGAATCATTCACGTACCTGGGAAGCATCATCGATGAACAAGGAGGATCGGATGCAGATGTAAAGGCGAGGATTGGTAAAGCAATGGTAGTATTTCTACAATTGAAGATTATATGGAGCTCAAAACAACTCTCAACTAATTTCAAAGTGAGAATCTTCAATACGAACGTCAAGACAGTCAGTTCTACTGTACGGAGCTGAAACGTGGAGAACTACTGCATCCATTGTCAAGAAGGTACATGTATTTATAAACATTTGTCTACGCAAAATACTCAACATTCACTGGCCGAATACCATCAGCAACAGAGTTTTATGGGAGAGAAGAAACCAGCTTCTATCTGAAGAGGAAATTAGGAAAAGATGTTGGAGGTGGATCGGATATACATTAAGGAAATCACCAAACTGCATCACGAGGCATTCCCTAACTTGGAATGCTGAAAGAAACGGGCAAGAGGATGACCAAAGAACACATCACATCAGGATATAGAAGGAAATATGAAGGGGGTGAATGTTAACTGGAAACAACCGGAAAAGATTGCGCAGAACATTATTGAATGTAGAATGCTGGTGGGTATCCTTTGCTCCTTCACGAGGGATAACAGGCGTAAGTAAGAGTAAAAAAATATTATATTACAATAAATTCAATTTTAACTCATTGACCTATGAACATGGAATTTAACTATTCAAACATTCATCTCTCATGACCTTTACTTACCTAAATTTATACATCGATGACTTATATTTATATATAGATATTTGATCAACTTAATCTTACAATCGTTATTCAAGATTATGGCAAACGATAATTTTTTCAAAGAATTTCATTCATCTTTCCTTATAAAGCTAGTGACTTAAGGCAATATCGAGGCAGTTGGCACAGAATGCACATATGCCAACAAGAGACTGATCAGTTGCAATCCTAAATAACAATGGGAAGATATAAGTATACAACATCAAGGGAATGTAATATATATATATATATATATATTATATTCAGTTCTAAAGAAACTTATACACAGACAATCAGTTATGGTTACTGTAAAGATAAAAAAACCCTTCAGATATACCTACAAAAGAAATCTATGAAAAACTAATCAAGAAAATTTGTAGAAAATTAAATTTTTCAAGTGTCTTTTGTTTTATTTGTTTGTTTGTTTGCAATAAAATTGTTTATTTACATAATCTAAAATGTTTGCTCCAATAAAATATGAAGTTTATCATAGTTACATACCATTTAAGATTGATGAAAATTTCACTGGTTAGTGTTTTAACAATAATAATGATCATTAAGTAATAGTGAAATTAACGATATACATTTCTGCTTTAAGATACAGATATTAGGATGTCTTTCATACGGATGAGTTATTGAAATAACTCTAGATGATGGGATGTTTTAATTTATTCACGGAACTGATTTATAGAACATTCATTGAGTACAATACCATATATAGGGATTAAGTTAAAAATTCAGTTTTCTAAGTTTTGGAATTTCGTTAAATGATTGATATACAGTAATTCTCATACAGTGGTATCGATGTTCTACTATGATGTGTGCTACTGATGTTGACAGATATCAGTAGTATTTATCATCAATCGAAAGCGAAATGCCTGGTGGCATAAGTTTAAGAAGATCAAAGAAAAGAAAACGGAAACAAAAAATGATTGGCGAGTAACTGAAAGGACAATGAAGTCTGAGACGATTGATTGACATTTTCAGAAGAAACAGTCAAGTTTGAGACAATTGATTAACATTTTGCAAATGAAATATTAGTTGTACGGTTTTCAGATTTTACCAAGATATTCTATAATCTTGTATTCAAATACATTCGATTGTCCATGTCCTCTTTCACTAAACTACGATCTTTATCCCGTATAAATTACATCTAAAGATTATGGAGTTCTTTTTACAGGAATTATTACTAGTTACTTACTAGTTAGCATTGAGTTTGTCAATGTTTTTACTGATATTCATCCCATCAGTTCACAGCGATTTTTAAAATAGACTATTGAGAGAAAGGAATGTCTCGTACTATCTAGTTTACAGTATTTATTTAATCAAATATGATTTATAAGGATGAAAGTTTACAAGAATTTTGTTATCGTTAAATGAAAAAACAATAATTTATCTTAATTATTGATGAATTGTTTAAAACAAACTAGTTACATAAAATAACATTATACAATCATGTTATGCAACAATGTCACTACTTTACTGCAGCAAAAGACTACTTAAATATGAGAACACTTAAGATCCGTACAACCCAACGGATACCCAACAAACCGACAGCAATTAAAATACGGAATGGCCGCCCCATACTAAGCCGCTCAGGGTCGTTGGAACGAAACAGCGGATGACTTTGAGAGGGCTTACCTTGTTTACCGTCACATTTATAACATATCCCTGGGGCAAATAATTTGGGTTACAGATGCTTGTGTCTCGTATAAGTTCCTTGAACAACAACTTGCTTTAAAAGAAGACTAGTCTTCAGGCCGTAATATCCTAAACATCTGTATCAAAAGAATGAGAGCTGATAGAGATTGTTTGTCTCGAGGCACACTTACGGGTAGTGACGGTTCAATCATGTCAAAACGAAATTGTGGCAACGTATTTAATATGTTTCAAAAACTTTCTCATCCAGCTATCATCAAGATCGTATCAGAAGGATTTCGTGACCTTGAGTAAATGAAGGCGTGAGTGAAAACTCAGTCGAAAAATTCAGAGTGACTAGACATAATATCGTGTAGTTTCCTTTGCATCTGCTGAATCTCGTCCTCATATCCACTTTGATTCAACAGGATCCTTGACAGAACCAAGTGGATACTGTTACCCACTGATGTATGTAGACCTTTGAGACAGGTCCAAAGTCTTCGCTATCCAACTGGGAAAAAGTGGGCCGTAACGTCAAAGAAATCCGTAAAAGAAAACACTCACGTAAGCCTTCAGCACAAATACTGACTTCATTAGCTTCACTGAACACACTCGATGCTGAAGGCTCTAGGCCATGCGTCTGCCCGAGGTCAGGTATGGTTACGCTGTAATGCGTATCTCTCATAACAACTGGTCAGGTTAGAACGCAAACATCTCGACACGGCGAAAATTATCCAGTACACAATCGTACCCATTCATTTGTGATATCAGCCCCTAAATCGACCTAACTCAACTCTTCTGGATGTATAGAATCGACAGACTTAATCGTTATAAGTGCATTTACCTATACCACTAGTATGATAGACCAGGTCCCGAAATTATAAACTTGTCACGAAGTGAGTACCAAGTCCATAAGGTCCTAGATGGAAGCTACATCACCGTCTATACTGACTCGTCCTACGTGGTGGTCAGCTGTACGCTTTTTAGGACTTCTGAAGAACACATTGGGGTTGAGGATAGAATGATATACTTAACCTGAAGATTCTACATGGAATGACCACGTACAGTCAGGTCAATTGTTGTCATACAGTTGGAGATTTCAACACTCCACACACAAATTCAAGTGGACTTTTAGACGGAAGGCTGCTACCAACTGGTATTCAGTGCTCACGATGTCTTATAGACCACCCCGAGCTGTCTTTTTTAATTTTCCCCCAAAGTAGTTTTAAGGTGTTTTCCCAGATTTTATGTGTTATCGTGATATTGGCTGATATCGTTGGAAACAATTGGTGAAGCCAATAGTTGACCGAATCCCAAATTATGGATCTCTCAAGCATGATGAAAAAAGATGGATAGTGGCTAGCAATATCGAGGCAATGCGCACAGTGCGCACATATGCCAATAAGATACTGACCAGTAACAGTCCTAAGCATCAATGAGAAGATTCAAACAAACAATAATAAGTGAATTTAAACTTCACTCCATTGCACTCCATTGGCTATCAGAACTCAGTAGCTGAATGGATAACAAGATGGCTTTTGAAGCGAAAGGTACTAGATTCGAGTTCCACAGTGAACATCAACTCTGAGATGCAGGTACATCCAGACGACGAGTCCCAAATAGGACGAAACGCGCATCAAACTGGATTCTACTGCTAGCCACTATCCATCTTTGCTTATAAGTTTTTAATACTATTTTTATTCATGTTTTACAAGTTATTTGTT